GTAATTTTTCTAGTATATGCTACAGGATTTATTTGTTTATGATTTACTAGTAATTTTATTTTTTTTATAAATTTTAAAATGTAATTTAAAAAAGACTAGCAAGAAAATTTTTTTTTAAATTTTGTTTAGTGTTTTTTAGAGGAGCGGTGAGGGAGGCAACCGAAACGTTTAAATCGCCCAAAGGCCGTCGAGCTGTCAGGGATTCGCGGATTGCTACGGTTCGGTTTTCAGTTCAGTTCAGATCTGTTCGGTTAGGTTTGGGCTTAGGTTTGGTTTTTGGATTGAGTTTGGGTTTGGGATTGGGCCTGCGTGGACTTACAGCTCGGCTCAATCCAGAGCCGTTGTCAATCATAAGCCAGGTCCAGTCTTTCGTTGGCATCAGGACGGGAATCCACAGATCCACACATCCCCAAAGCAAAAAGAATGGGAAAGAGGAGTAGAAGCGATCTAAGATCTTCTAACATTCGCGAGTAGAGCGAGTTGGAGTCGCATCTGTCGGATTTGCATTACCGCGTCCGACTTGCCTTGAAATTATGTGAAATTGATCAATTTCAACGTTGCCCGTTCGCCGCGTCCACTTTTCGCAGCCAGGAACTCAGAACTCAGAGCTCAGAACTCTGGGTGCAGAGCATTTAATGTAAAATGTCAATCAAAAATCGCACAGAATGGAAAAGCAACTTTGAAAATTTAATTAGAAATGTGTACACGTCGCTCGGGCATTGTGCTGGACGGTGCCATGGGAAAATGGGAAATCTTCTCAATTGAAGCGATGAGAACCGAACGCAAGAGCCACAGCTAAGTCCAAGGAAAGTGTCAGGAGATGTACTAATTGCTGAAGAGTCGTCTGTCCGAGCAAAATTGCTGGAACCGATTCGCAAAGATTTTCTAATAATTAGAGGAAGAAAGAAAAAATAGATAGGATGAAATAGATTGCATAAATGAGATAATAGTATTTTATTATCTCAAAATAACTGCATTAATTTCATATTTATCTTGGATGTATAGGGAGTAAAACCAGATATAATCTTGAGGTATCTTAACATTCTTGGGAAGCTTCTCTCGTATTTTCTAAAAATTAGAAGAAGAAATAAAATGGAAATATATAATATTATTATTATCCCAAAATTGACTCTTTTAATTTCATATAAATTCTAGATTTTGAGGTAAGAATAGCAATCTTAGGAAGCACCTCACGCATTTTCTAATAATTAAAGAAATAAAAGATTTATGTTTTAGTATCTCAACTTTACTCCATTAATTTCATATAAATTTTAGATTTGTAAAGCGTAACCCCAGATATGATCTTCAGCTATCTAAACATTCTTGGTAAGCACCTCTCGCATTCCCCCGAATTTCCAGTGACTTTCCATTGGGCTCAAAACCAACATGGATTTATAAAGACATAACTCACAGTTTAATGACTATAAATTCAGAGGCCCGAGTATGAAATTTTCGTTGGAAATTGTAAATAAAAAAGGCGGCTTAAATAATAATAATATGTAGTTGTAAAAGTAATCGTAAAGCGAATGTGTGAGAAAAGCGGACTTTTTGGCTGTGGCAATCAAAGTATGGACCTGGTTTTTATTATGGCCCCAACCAGCTGGTCGGTTGACTTCAAAAAGGGTTTAGTTTTGTATATTAATTTGTCAAGCACAGAAAAGGCAAAAAAAAAAAATAGAAAACCAAGGCAGATTTATCAATGGGCGGTGGTTCATGCTAATTTAGTTATGAACACTTGTTATGTTTTTCATATATCATATTTCTCGTTTTGCTTCGAGATGGATCGTTTCTTTTGCTTTAATGCTTCATTTCTTTGAATTTCATAATTACACGGCTTTGACCGCTCAACGACTGTTGGTTGTTGGTTGGTTTGCTAACTGTTTTTGTCATTGTCAGTTGTAGCTTTTCTTGAATGAACTTCGGCTTTGGGCCAACTGGTTTTTTGGTTTTTTCGTCGTCTTCTTGCCTTAATTAATTATTGTTGTATAATTAGTAGTTGGTCGGGGGCATAATAATTCAGCAGAATGGCCGGACTGTTCATTCATTCATGGCTCTTAACATTTTCACACATTTCCGGTACAGTTGGCCACAAAAGCGAACTTAAACCAAACTAAAACCAAACCGAACCGAACCGAAAGACCGCCCCAAGTTGGCAAAAGGGCGTTGTGGGCAATGTCAATCAATTGGTTCGCCGACTTGGTTGGCTGATTTCTTGGCCAGTTTCAGTTAGCCAGCTTGAATCTGGAATCTTGAATCTCGCGAGTCTCGAGCCAAGCAAAAATGGCAGCTGACTGACAGACAGATCGAAAACGCTGGTGTTCAGTTCGGTTTGGTTGGACCCTGGGCGCTGTTTCGGCCCGGCTCTCTTTTAGCCTGGCCAACAGCAGCCACGGCAGCAACAACTACTACCAACTACCGGCTGAAAATTGTGCCGGGGACTGGTCGCTGAATTGCACGATTTTAGAGACGGCCAAGTGACACGAAAAGGAGGGAAATAAAATCATGAAATCTAGTAAAAATTATATTTTATACAAAACAAGTAATTTTAAAAACTAAATCTTTACAAAAAAAAGTTTATACAATTATAAAATCCCAAAAAAATATTGTATACAAACCTAATTGAAATATTTATTAGATTTATTAAGTTTGACTTAAATTATGAAATCTTGAATTTAATTATACAACAAATTATACAAAATTATATAAATATCTAAATGATAAACAGGAAAAAATAGAAAAAGTTTAAATGCAAATACAATTTTTTAAATATATATTTTTGATTTATAACAATTTTAAGCGTGGTTTGTGATTCTAATTTAATAATTTACACGTTAAAATAGATAAAAAGTTTAAAGTGCCGAGATTATTTGTATAATAAGTTCTTGGTTAAACTTCCTCTGTAGAAGTGCCGTCTCTAAAAATCGGATCTGCAACTGGAACTGGAAATTGGGTTCATGGGTAGGAGGTGGGGCTGCCACGATTCGCAGCCAGCCAAATCGATCGAACTGCCTTCATTAAACAGAAAACAGAGCAAGAAAAAAAAGAGGGGAAAAAAGGAAAAATAAAGGTAGACCTGGGCAACCTCTGGCCATCCCTTTCTGTCTTAATAACTCCTTTCCTGCCGCCGATTTTGCGATTTTGCGGCAGAAAAGTAGCAGCAGCCGTGATCTCCATCTCCACTCCGATTTTTTCCTTATTTTTTTCTTATTTTTCGATCGCCGTCGCTCCATTGCTCCATTAATTTCCATGTTGGCCACAATTTGACTTCTGTTCGCCGATCGCTGCTTCTCTTTTCCTCCATCGCCTGGATATATATTTTATTTTTATTCTCGCAAATTGCCAGGCACGCAATTTGCGCTCGAATGGAAAATAAAATAAAAAAAACTACAAAAAATCTGCAACAAATTGGAAGCCAATAATCAAATGTCAGTCAGGATCCGCCTGGCCAGCCCCCCGCGATCTCTTTTGGGGTTCTGTCAGTCAGTTCAGTCAGTTAGTCATTCGCTCAGTCCGTCAGTCCCTCACTCTGTCATTCACTCAGGGCGGTCAGTGAAATCGGTTTTTGCCATGGCTCTAACTCCAGGGCTCATTACTCAAACTCCAGCTGAAGCTCCCTTTTTTTATTTTTAGTTTGGCTTTGCACTGCTGGAAAATGTGATTATTTTAATGAAAAACTAGTAAATATGTATAAAAATACCAGAAATACCGGAATATATATTATAATGTTATAATAAATGAATAAGGATACACCTAAACTGTGACAAAAAAAAGGAAAAAACATAGTCCAATATATAAAATGTTTAAATACCTTAATCATATAAAATTTAAAAAAATGTTGCCGACCTTTTTTTAAAAATTATAAGACCAGAAGTCTTTTAAAATCCTTTAAATATTATCTCTGGTAATTCTCTTAAAACACTAATCCCACTTTTTCTCAGTGCATAGCCCTGCATCGCGGACTTAAACTTGTCGGCTTGTCCGATCCGCCTGTCTATTCATTTGAATGTTTTTCGAATTCGATTTTGATTTGATTTCGGTTTCGGTTTCACGCTTGCCTGCCTTATACTTTAATTAGTTCGGCAAATTAATTCCCAGTATTTCCCAAAAAAAAAAAAAAAAAAAAAAGAGAACAAGAAACGATTAATACCGAATTTCAATTGCGATGCCGATATTGTTTATTGGTTCCACATTACGCCCGCCGCGTATAATTAACAATAAAAAATTTCAAACACATTTTGACACAATTTTAATAGTCAATAAAACTCAATGGAGAGCATGAAAGGGGGGCTTCCAGAGGGGGGTTTCCAAAAGGGGGTCCCAAAAGCCCCATCAAATTGAAACAACAATGAAGTGACATTTTCGCCGCTGATGTGGCCATTGTTCGACTTTGTTTGTAGTATTGTTGTTGACAAATCGATAAACAGCTCAATTAGCATTTTTGATGCTCAATCGTTAAAGAACCACTCAGCTCACTTACCCTTCCATCGAACAGCGGACCGACTGACTGACTGACAACTGTATGGCAATCATAAATCAAACCATAAAAAATATATATCAGGAATTCGGTTCAATAATCGATTTGTATGCATTGCCCGTCGCGCCGCACAATTATGCAAAATGAGCTGTCAAACGAGTGGGGTTTTGTAGCCCCTTCCCCTTGGAATTTATTCGCCGAAAAGGAAAAGCCACATGTTTATTACTTGCTCGAAACTCATGTTAAATTCATTTTAATCAATCTAATCCAGCAGACTGCTAAAGTCATAAATTGCTTGATAATAAATTTTTTAAGTCAATAATTTTTTCCCTATTAATTTAAAGTTTTAAATAAATATTTTCCTCTTTAATTTTTTAAATTATTTTAAACTATTTTTTCCAATTAAACTTATAGGGTTTTTTAAATACTTTAAATCCAGTTTACTTTCTAAAATACATTTTTTAAAACCTTTTAGAACGCCAAGTTGGCAATGCCTTACATTTCCATCCCTAGACAAACTAAATTCAACTGTTAAAAAAATTCCAAAAAAAGGGCAACCAAATAATTTGACTTACATTTAAATTTCTCAAATGGACGGAGATCAAATCCGGAAGAGCAGCAGCGATCAGGACTTGGAATATAGTCAAAGTCGCCGCAAAGGCGTTCATTATGCCTCGATTGCCGAATTCCTGGCGAGTCTCAATATCAATGATACCACTTTGGGATCTGTTCGGGGTGTTGGAACCCTGAGCCTGGAGGATTACCTAAAGATCGTGCGAAGTGCCGATAAAAAAGAGCAGGGCGACGGGAATAGTATTACTCTCGAAACCAAAAAGATAAGCAAGAAATCGTTGCAGGAAATCAACAACCGGCAAGTCAGGCAGTCAGATGCAAAGAATCTCAGCAAATCCAAACTAATATCTCAGTACACTGAAAAGATTTGGATTTAATCCCAAAATTATTGTAATCTTATACGTATCCATAAAGATTATGGTTAACATTATAAATTGTAAATTGTAAGTCAAATGGCATATTTTATTATGATAATATAAAGGAAATTTAGTTTAAAATTTTTAATACATATACATAGAATGTTCTTCATTTTATTTTATTGACTCTCCTTAGGTTTTCCAAAAACCACATGGGCCACCGATTCGAACTCTAGCTTGTTTCAATAATTCAATCACGTGGTATCGTATCGAATAATTGAATAAGTCATCGTGTCGAGCGACACAAATTTCATTTCAATACGCAGAACGTTTAACGAACGAATCGGGCCTCAAAGACGATCGCCGATGATTGAACGCTCGCGGAAAGGGTTGGCACAAGGGGGTTAAGGTGGTGTCTTAGGGGGCTAAGGGGGGTCCGAAGGGGTCTTGAGACGGAACCGCCAAATGGCAACGTGAGTGATTGTCGCAAAAGCTCAAAGGCGACAACAGCTCTTCGAATTGTACTGATTTTTATTTATTTTATGTTTGAACCGAAACGTTCACGGAATCCCAAATGAAATGCGACTGGGTTTTGGTTTGGTTTCGATGGGGGGGGAAACTTGGGAACCCGATATATCGGGGCCTTCCACCTGGATTCCCCCCTTCGATGGTCGATGGCCAATTGGTGTGGGAAAAATGCGACGATGGTAACAGGCGTGGCGATCCTCCATTAACATGTTCACCTCGTGGCGATTTCAATCGAATTTTAATTGCCCGAAAGTGGATCTAACCGATTGAGAAGAGATTGCCTCGCTTTTTCGGTTTTTTTTTCGTCATTTTTGCCTGGAAATTGAGTTACTGCTCAAGGTGGGAAATGTAGAAAAAAGTAGCAAATTTCCAAAAAGAATTATAAAATTTTATCTTTAATTTTTTCTTTTATGGAGTTTTTATCACATATTTAAATATGGAAATATTTTTAAGGTCTGTTGAACTACAAATAATAAAAAGGCCCATGAAAAATGTAATTTCAATTAAATATCTGAGAATTAGTCGTCAGCTAGCTTTCTTTGCGTTCGGACGTGCTTATAATTCTCGCTATGTTGCTTCACCGCTGTCCCGAGTGCAATACCGATGTTACACCGGCCCAGCTTCGCGCCTCGGATGCTATCCGCTGTTCTTCTTTGTGCCGGCGCGCTTATCATACTTCTTGCGTTGACCTACCGGACGATGTGATAAAAATTCTATTAAATCCAAACATACTGTGGCAATGTGACAGCTGTGTGGTTGCGAATGATTCGCATTCTAAAATTGATGAACTTGATGCTAAATTGCAAGCCCTGGAATGCTTATATCAGGGCCTTAATAAAAAATTTTTGGAGGCATTCCCACCTAAAAATAATGCATTGAATCAAAATCAAAACATAAATCTTAAGCCTCGTCAACCGAGGCCTGCCAATGTAACTGCAGCTCCCCAGTCATATGCGGCTGCTGCTGCTACGTCTTCCGCGGTCGTTGACCCGTCTAATCATGCTCTGGATATCGGGAGAGGAAATTTCATACAAGTCCGAAATAAGAAGAGAAGGAACAACAACAAGCCCAATAAGCATATTGTTGGAGTGGCCCCTAATGCCGAAGATCTTCACGTATTGCCAAGTAATAAATTCTTGCATGTCGGAAAGTTTGCAACAGCTACTGATCCTGCTGCTGTTTTAAAATATGTGTCCACCAAGCTTAATGTGGACGCTAATTCTTTCACTTGTGTAAAACTTGTAAAAAAAGATGTTGACGTTGCAACTTTAAAGTTTGTAAATTTCAAGCTTGGTATCCCTGATCACCTTTATGATTCAGTCTTCAAGAATGATTTTTGGCCAAACTCAGTTAAGGTCAAAAGATTTATTCATAGAGAACGGGCCGTTATGGACGTGGATAATATCGTATCCAATTTGCCGGAGCCTGCACAAATTTCAACGACAATTCATCCATCAAAAAACCCCTAGTAATCGGCGCCACTGGCGTCGATACTTTTGCGGGACATTTTTTGCAAACATTGGTCACTGCTCTCTCATCATCTTCCGCCTCTCTCCCGTCGCATCGTCAACATCAGCTGGAGCTGTTGCTGTCCGCTTTGTGCGACTTTCGCCATCCGCCAAGCTCTAACATCGGCGCGCTCCTCGGAGTTGCGCTCTCATCATCTTCCGCCTCTCTCCCGTCGCATCGTCAACAACATCAGCCGGAGCTGTTGTTGTCCGCTTTGTGCGACATTCGCCGTCCGCCAAGCTCTAATATCGGCGCGCTCCTTGGAGTTGCGCTCTCATTATATTCCGCCTCTCTCCCGTCGCATCGTCAACAACATCAGCCGGAGCTGTTGTTGTCCGCTTTGTGCGACTTTCGCCATCCGCCAAGCTCTAACATCGGCGCGCTCCTCGGAGTTGCGCTCTCATCATCTTCCGCCTCTCTCCCGTCGCATCGTCAACAACATCAGCCGGAGCTGTTGTTGTCCGCTTTGTGCGACATTCGCCGTCCGCCAAGCTCTAATATCGGCGCGCTCCTTGGAGTTGCGCTCTCATTATATTCCGCCTCTCTCCCGTCGCATCGTCAACAACATCAGCCGGAGCTGTTGTTGTCCTCTTTGTGCGACTTTCGCCATCCGCCAAGCTCTAACATCGGCGCGCTCCTCGGAGTTGCGCTCTCATTATATTCCGCCTCTCTCCTGTCGCATCGTCAACAACATCAGCCGGAGCTGTTGTTGTCCGCTTTCTGCGACATTCGCCGTCCGCCAAGCTCTAACATCGGCGCGCTACTCGGAGTTGCGCTCTCATCATCTTACGCCTCTCTCTCATCATTTTTTTCCGGTGCTCTCTGGAGTTGCTCTCCCCATCAACAACTACAATGGGCTGTGGCAGCTGGTGGGGGCTCTCGCGCACTATTAACAGGAGCGGATTCACCTGCGTGCAGTCTTATTCAGAATGCTAATAATGACCGCCCACGAAATACTTGGAGTGATGATCACCAGCCTATTCGTATCCGCACAACTACTTTACTGAAGGTTCTTATTAATAATTCTAATACTTATGATAAGATCCCAGCAAGGCCTCTTACGGATTCGGGCCATGACGCTGGACCAAGTATTGATAGCATGACCAGGGATGACCGTACATGCACAAATAATATAACTTTCAATATTTATTTTCAAAATGTCGGTGGTATGCGTACAAAAGCTCAATCGCTTTTCTTGGCAACGTCTCAATGTGATCATGACGTTATCATTTTTGTTGAAACCTGGCTCAACATGGATTTCTTTGATAATGAATTCTTCGATACGAATCTTTACCATGTATTCCGTAAGGATCGTGATGCCGTTAAAACAAGATGCTCCAGAGGTGGCGGCGTTTTAATTGCTGTGCGGCGTGGACTTCGTTGCACTGCTATTCGTCTCCAGAATGAGGATTCTCTGCTCGATCAAATCTGTGTATCTCTCTCTGGTCCTACAGAAACAATTTTCCTGACAGTCTCATATATACCCCCTAGCAGCAGTTTTGATCTTTATAAAGCGCACGTTGATAACATAGCCCACCTACACCAGGAGCTGGAGGAGGGCCAGTACATATGTGTTTTGGGCGACTTCAACCTATCTTCGCTCGTGTGGGCTCATGATTCAGAGTCCTCAGCAATGGTTCCCAGTAACTTGCATCTTCCCTATGAAATCTTAGTCATTGATGAGCTTCTTAGTATGGCATTAGTCCAGATTAACCATGTATTTAATAATTTAAATAAGCTTCTAGACTTAATTTTTGTACATCCTGATTTAAGCATTAATTTATGTTGCAGCGATAATCCACTTGCCGCGTGTGATGCTCATCACAAGCCTTTGTTAATCTCTATTACTTGTTATATTTTTCGCCCAATTAATTCTCGCTTGCCTTTTACTTATATTAATTCTAGCAGTTTAGATTCTATCCGTAACGATATTTCTAATATTAGATGGGCGGAGGTCCTCTCGCATGCAGATGTGAATACAAGCTATGAAGTTTTTTTATCTTTTCTCTCTACTATTGTGGGCAGATATACTAAAACTAGGGTTCAAAGTTGTTACAGACTGCCATGGTACACGCAAGGACTAAAGAAATATAAAAACCTTAGAAATAAATTCTATAAGCGCTACTTAGATAGCGGTGATGCTGGTGACTTTGACCGTTACAAACAGCATAAGCGTGAGTTTGAGTTCCTCAATAAATTCTTATACAACCAATATATTGCTGATATAGAGCGTAAATTAACTACCAATCCTAAATCATTCTGGCACTTTATCAATTCTAAACGAACATCTTCTTACTTTCCCTCCCATATGTCATTTGAAGATCATTCAGCCTCCTCGGATATTGGGGTCGCTAATCTATTTGCTAAGTTCTTTGCATCTAACTTTGAGCCGGGCTCGCTGTGGAATGACGATGATTCGCTCAATGCCATTCCTACTATGTTAAATATTGGTTGCTTAGATGTCACCGATTCTGACTGCCATCTGGCGGCTGAATGCTTTAATGAGTCAGCAAAATTAGATTGTGATGGCCTTTCTCCATTTATTTTGAAAAATTGTATAGGTGTTCTTTGTGAGCCCCTTAAAATCATCTTTAATTTATCTCTTTCCACTGGTGTTTTTACGCATAGATGGAAACTGGCCACTGTTACTCCTATATTTAAGTCGGGTGCAAAAAACATTGTTTCAAATTATAGGCCAATTGCAAAGCTCAGCAATGTCTCAAAAATGTTCGAACGAATTGTAGCCAAGCAGCTAACTTTTCTTGTTGGTCGGATCATCAGTCCTAACCAACATGGTTTTATGCCTCGACGGTCTACTACCACAAACTTAGCTACGTTCAATCATTTTTGCACCCACTCGTTTCTCAGTCATCATCAAGTTGATGTGGTCTACACCGATTTCGCTAAAGCATTTGATAAAGTCTCCCATAATGCTTTATTAGCTAAACTGCAGAAAATGGGATTTCACTCACTATTACTTAGCTGGTTCAAATCTTATTTAGATGATCGGGTTTACAGAGTTGAATGCAATGCTGTTTACTCTAACCCATATGTGGCAACTTCTGGCCTTCCTCAGGGAAGTGCTTTGGGTCCGTTGCTGTTCATCGTGTTCATAAA